ATTGGTTTCACTGTTAATGGACTTTAAACGGACTCAGTCTTTATTGTAAATAACCATAAACTGCTATTTAAAACAATTGAGATTGGTGAGAAGGTTTAGAATATCTGTCCACGAGCTTTGCCTGCTCAAACTCACCGTTAGCTTGACTCGTATATAAAAATAAAATAAAAAAACTGCAGACAACTTCATGAAACACCACAATTAAATTCAACCATTACTTCAAAGCCTTTGAAAAGTATCACAGTAAATGTTCTGTTTCAGCTAAAATTAAATAAAAGCACACACATCCACAAACAGCACAGTGGGTTTTGGTTCTTATAAGGACTACAAGTCCAAACAAAGAAAAGATGATTATAGCAGAAAAGACATGAAACTTAACAATAACCAGCACATACACACACATAGAGGCGATAATGGTCGGAAATGTTGCCAATCAAAGGCTGGCCCTTGCACTCTGCGATTGTTTTACAAGAAAATTGCTGATGATCCTTGATGTAGTTTCTGATGTTGAACTCTAAACAGCAAATAATAGGATTCACATTTTAAATAATAAATTATTTTTTAAAAGTTGCATCGTTGTGTTGCAAATGAACAAAGATGATTGTTAGTCAAATTTACCACGAGCAAGACCCACCTAAAAGCAGTAGCTTCAGCTCTCGTTTAAGCTTTAGTTTATCCTGACGGAGTTGTCTCTCTATTTCTTTGTGTATCCTCAGCCTCTCCTCGTCCTCAGCAGACAAGCAGCACGAGTCCATCTCTGTCCAAGTTTACCGGCTTCTGTTCGTTTCACTCTGCCACAGCTGACAGGGATTAGTGAAATGAATGGGTGCTGATTTTGTCACTCCTGTAGGGTGGTTGTTGGTGAGTTTTCTTGCACTCATTCTTCCTCATGTAGGATCCAGTTCAGGTGCATTCCACTCTTGCAGAGGCTCAATCACCTGAGTTTCTGCCTTCAGGGCCCAATGCTCACAAGCAGCTGATTTTTATTTGATTTTACTTTTTGATAGGGAAATAAACACGTTTAAGGCTGGTGAATGTCTAAAAACAAGTGGAAATAAAAGCTTTGATCAGCTGCTTTTCACATTAAACGTTTATCATCCCCATTAAAATGATGAAATGATAAACCCTTATGGTGAAAATGTACAAACAGGCCCTGTGTTTCCCTGCAGGATGTACCTTTTCACAAAGCTGAAAAGCTGGATCGGCTGCATTTATTTCCTCCACAAAACTGTAACTAATGCCATTTTCTCTATGCACAGCTGATGAACACGAAACAATAGGAATCAACTCTTTATTTATTAATTTATTGCCTAAAGTAATGAATAATTGTTTTTTTTGTTTGTTTCTTTGGTCAATTTTGATGAATTGGTTTTATTGTATTTTTTTTTTTTTTTTTTTTTTACTGTCACGTACACCCATTTATTTGTATTCTCTGTACCCCCAAATCCAGTTTAAGGCCACAAAGAACTGGTGCCTTTCCCAGCAGTCATTAGGTATAAGGAGAGGAACTGTCTGGTACAAAATGTCACCAACTAATGGTCAGGTCGTATACACAGAGGCGATAGAGCAAACATGTATCTGTATGGTCTGCTGTGTATGGAACATCTGGAGCAGGATGAACAACCGTCACATCAGTGTGAATAAGATGAAGGGGATGGTCGTGGACTTCAGAAGGAATAAACACACCTACACCCCCACCCCCTGAACATAGGAGGATCTGTGGTGGAAGTGGTCTCCAGCTACAAGTACTTGGGTGTGCACCTGAATGACAACCTCAGCTGCAGCAGCAACACCACCAGTTGTTTTCTTTTCAGTTAAGGATATTGTGGACCAAATGGAGATCGTCCAAGGCCATTTTTTGGTCCTCAGGCCATATTACGTCTGCTTAGAGACTCTCTGTAAAGTCCAGAGTAGTTTGTAACTGTGTAGACTAAAAACATTTAGCTACTTACAGACTAGCAGCATGTCCCCAACACTTATTTGGCATTAAACATGGATGATGCTCAGTATGGAGGTCAATGTATTTTTTTCTCAATTTTTGGATGGTTAATTTAGCATCACAAGGAGGCCCTGTGGGAGTAACAATGGTGTGGGAGTAACAATGGTGTGGGAGTAACAATGGTGTGGGAGTGACAATGGTCAGAATCAACTTGAGTCACAACCATAACAAATAAAACCTAATAAAAGCCATTTCAAGATAGGATGGCATGTGACAGGAGCTTGCAATCACACCACCAGTAAAAGGAGCAACAAATTACCAGAATAAAATATGCCATTTTTCTTTTGTAATTTTGAAAAAAGGCATTAAGAGAGCTTTTTTTAAAGCTAATAGAAGACTGATATTTTTCAGTGTATGTTTACCTTTTTACAATTAGAGTTTGAAAAACTGGTGCAGAACGTATAAGAATAGAGGAAGATTTTTTTTGTTTTGTTTTTCCTTGTCTGAGGCAACACAGTGTGACAGATCCTGTCGAGTGGAGGGGTCAATTTTATTTTATTTTTTTCATTTACCCTTTATTTATATATTTATTTTTACAAAGTACAATAGATTAATCTTCGGCCACTACAAGGACTACCCCATCATATTTTTTTAAACAAAGTTGGTTTTTTTTTTGGTTTTACTTTTTAGAATACAAACAAAAAGAAAACAGAACAAAATCCCCTCCCACACTGGAGTAGCCAAACACACACAAATAATCTATACAGGCATTCACAAGTTCTCAACAAATGTCAGAAAAGGCTGCCAGGTGTCCAAGAATCTTCCTGCAGAACCCTTCAGGGTGTATCTGATTTTTTTCCAGATGGATATGGTACATGACCCCTCTTATCCATTGTATATACAGGCTGGGGGGTGTGGGTCCTTCCAATTGCACAAAATTTGCCTCCTGGCCAGCAGAGAGTCAACAACAATCACATCCTTTTCATACTTGCTGAAGGACGTCTCCACACCCCAAACAGTGAGGTGAGTGGTGATGGGTGTACAGTTTTTCCACATATCCCAGAGAAGATGTCAAAAATAGATTGCCAAAAGGTCTGCAGTTTGGGATAGTTCCAAAATGTATGCAAGAGTGTAGCTGTTTGCAACGATTACATGCGGGGTCCAGGTTGGCTTTGATCCCGGACAGCTTGTCTTTGGACCAGTGCAGCTGGTGCAGTACCGTGAAATGAATTACAGCATGTCTCAGACAAATTGAAGATGATTAAATGTTCTTAATTTACCAGATTGAGTCTGATATGGATCACTCCAAGTCTGTTTCCCATTTCAGTTTAAGGGATTCCAAACTGGACTCATGGTATGAGCTGAGCAATGTATAAATCTTGCTAAGGCCCCCCTTGGTATCAGACCTGCACTATAAAATCTTAGCCACATAATGTTTAGAAGGGCACAAAGGAAAACAACAAGAGTTAGATCTCACAAAATGTCTCAGCTGCAGATATATCAAAAAAACTGTGACTTGTGAATATTAAACTTCTGTACCAGCTATTCAAAAGAGGCAAATCTACCATCAGCATCGAGATCACACAGTGAATGCACTCCCCTCAGGCTACCAAAAGCATTTGAGGAAACTATACTTTTAAACAACATACAAATTAGAAAGCATAGTTTCCTCAAATGATTGGTGGTCAAATATATAGTGGGTACAGAAAGTATTCAGACCCCTTTAAATATTTCACTCTATGCTTCAGTGCAGCCTTTTGCTAAAATAAAAAAAGTTCATTATATTTCTCATTAACATACACTCAACACCCTATCTTGACATAAAAAAAACAAAAATGTAGACATTTTTGCAAATTTAAAGAAAAACTGAAGTTGGCACGTTGCTTATTTTTCAAGTTATCATGCTCACAACATGAGTTAGGGAGTGGTGGCACAGAAGCTAGAGAAGGTGAGCCTGTGATCAGAAGGTCGCTGGTACAGCCCCCCTGGACCGCCAACTTTAAAATATGGGTGGTAAAGGTCAAGCACCCACACCTGCCTCCACTCTCATTTGTAAATGGGTCCTTGAGCAAGGCTCTTAACCCCCACCATCTGCTCCTCTGGACACCCTAAACAGCAGCTCTCTGCTCCACACAGAGGGCTGTGGTAGCTCGGT